GCATGTCCCACAATGCATCTCGTTTTGTGACATGCGCACTGAAGAGACTTGCAATTATTTGCCCTGGACTTCTGCTTTCAGACGTAGTTAATTACTATCCTATCCGATAATAATCCAATTCAGAGGCAATAATGTAATATAATACATTATTTTATATATATATTATATATTTATATAGTTACAACCGGACCTTTGAGTGCAACCTTTATGCGAATGTGGCCCGCGATGAAATTGTTTCTGCTAAGTATAGCACTCAAATTACTTCGACTTTCTTTAACTTTTAGCTCTGAATCTTTAAAAATATATTTGTTGAGTTAATTTAAGTGACTTCTGCCAGCTGAATGTTTCATACATAACCCATATTGGGAGATGCTTAAGCTCAGACAACACAATTTAGTAAGTTATTAGACTTTTCCCACAAACTTAATGAATTATTTACGACTATTTAGTCATTCAACAACAATTCACTCTCTTTTTTCCAAACAGAATAATACAAAGTGGCAAGTTTTCAAAACTAATCATGTATGTCACATATTGCATACATTTGGCAGTGGTGTGTGTGTGTGTGTGTGTGTGTGTGTGTGTGTGTGTGTGTGTGTGTGTGTGTGTGTGTGTGTGTGTGTGTGTGTGTGTGTGTGTGTGTGTGTGTGTGTGTGTGTGTGTGTGTGTGTGTGTGTGTTGGGGGGAGGGTGGATCCCTTAAGGCTGCGTTCATGCTTCAGTGGTATAACATCCACGGGCTTGTTTTGGCACCACACTGTGTGTAGCTGCCGTCATCATCTAATTGTAGGCCACACGGACCACAGGGACTGAACAAAAAAGTTCACTTTGATGTCTCCCGACTGCATTTCATTTTAATACAAATATGCAGACATTCTTACTACGTTATCTGGGAACAAAACATATATGTTATCTGTATTATTAGAGTGAAGTGATCTACTGTGACCCTGACCTGAGAAATATGTTTATGTTATCATTCTTTATTAAGACAAAATAGACAATGTGCTGCCAAGCTATCAGTCTCACTCATGAAGCCTTGAATTTGTTAAGGTCACTTTAATAATCTCAAGTTCTTATTTGATACAGGTCCTTTACTTCATCTGCATGAAAAGAGCTGCTTGGAACATTTCGTTAGGGCAATAACGAAATGAAACAACACATTTCTGATGGATTTAATTCAGCAATAAACAGTGACTTGTAAGTTAAAGGTCCCATGTCTTGGCCATTTCTACTGATCATAATTCCATTGTTGAGGTCTACTAAAATAGATTTATATTGTGCAATTTCCCAAACTCACATTGGTTTCTCATACAGCATCTCTGTATAGTATGTGTATTCACTCGGTCTTAAACGAATTGTTGGAGCTCCTGCCCCCTCTCCCTCCCTATGAGCCCAGTGGCCGTCTGCGAGACAGCGAGACAGAGCGAGACACAGCGAAACCCAGCCCGAAACCAGCCCGACACCCGCAGCCTGGCTGGGAGTTTGTGCGTTTGCTCACACACCTTGCCGCGTCCCGCCGTCTCAGGGAGGAGAAATCGGTGAAGCTGCAGCTGAGAAAAGATTGAGTGTGTGTCATATATACAGTCTATGGTGTGTGTGTGTGTGTGTGTGTGTGTGTGTGTGTGTGTGTGTGTGAGGACGTAACGTAACAGCTCCACGGATTGGTCCATTTGGACAGGGTGTACTTTGAGGGCTTGTGACTCTGCAGACCGTTTACATGCATAAAAAGCTGCATAACTCACAAGGGGACGGGTAATAACCGGAAAAGCATGACATGGGACCTTTAACATAAAATGAATAACCTTTACCAAAAAGGTGGTTTTCCCTTTGGTTTGTTGAAAACTGCTGGTGTGATTTTCATTAAACTTGGTGGAAATAATATTTTTAGAGGTTGAATTTGTGTCTATTTACTACAGATTATTATGTCTGAGAATATTTCTTAACATCTAAAAAGGTGCAACACTACTAAGTGTGTATTTAAATCAAAAAAACAGTGACCAGTACATCCATCAACGTTCTTATGCCTTACTAATGGTTTTAAAGCAGAAATAAACAAACACTGACTGGTAAATGAACTTTGGACATATTTATTTAAATAAAGATTTAAAGAAGTATGACAATAACAAATACAGAACTCAGCCAATAATTTAAAGCCATAAAAGGCAACTTGACACACACGTTGTTTTGCTTCAGTAACATTCATTTTAGGGATTCATAATAAACAGTTTTATTAGGAAGGACATGTAAAACAAAACAAGTCTTTCCTTCAGAAAATTAGCAAGAGAGAAACACTGAAATGACGACTTTATATTCGATACCAACTGAAGCTACAGAGACATGTTTCAGACTATATGTTTCCCACAATGCACCAGCATGGGGTGTTTAAAACCACGTGGAGATCTGGAGCAGGCCTCCCACTCTGTGAAATGTCCATCAGCCTCCTTTGCAGTGGCTTCCGTCTAATGCTACAAATAAAAAGGTGAGGCGCCCTCTGGGAGAGCATCCCTCCCTCTCCGTGTCACAAACGCCTGCCCCTTGCTCACACTGTTGCCAGGCAACACGTAAAGCTCCAGTGTTGGGGGTTCCTCGGTGCGGACCATGGATGTATAAAGAGAAAGGACCAACAAATCATCAAGCCCTCCATTAGCGGAGCTGTCAACAGCCCGCTAATGCCAGAAGACTCCAGTAAAAACAACATCAACAGCTACAAAAAAACAAAACGAAGACAGCCAGAAGCAAGAAGAAACATCCAGAAAAAAAGCTTTTCAACATGGAAAATGTCAGGAATACGTTTTAGGGGAAGTTAGAAATAAAAAAGAATTGATAGCATAAAAAAGGAAGGGAAGAAACAAGGACCAGCCTGTTTGTGTGATTCAAGTTAACCTTCTCCACGTCATCTCGGGGACATTTATTGTTGATGCAGCTAGCACAGGATTAAATTAGCATTGTTGCACTTCCCGTTCCTTCATCTCAAAGTCAATTGGATTTTGGTTAGATGTCTGAAATAGGGTCTGTGGCACAAGCTTGGGATATTGTCAAACTTTTTTTATTTGACATAATTATCAGTAAACACTCCATTGAAGTTAATCTCAAAGCTTTTACTTTAATAATCCGTTTATAATAGAATAATCCTAATGGTTTATTTATGACGAGGAGATCTTGGATGAACATTTAGCTGTTCAAAGCTGTTGAGGACATTTTCTAAATAATCTAGGAGGCAAAGGATTACAAAAACAAGATGTGTAAAAAAAACAGTTTGGCATGTGTAAAACAGAAATCTTTTATGCTTCATCTTTTAAAGTCCAGTAAACACTTTTTGCTGGAACAAAAGCTGGTATCCATTAAGCAGCACTTAAATGGACAAAATGAGCCACGTGTATATTGACTGAGAAAGCATGCTCTTTACATGGCCCATGATTTGTTTCTGTTCCGTCACATCATGTCCACCCGTCGACTCTCATGCGAGGACCGAGTCACACTGCGCTCCTTCGGACGTGCTCTCAGTTCGTCCTCTGACTGCCTTTACTGATGAACACTCTGCTTTGCCAAATCCCTCCCTTCTCTCCCCCTTTTACCTTCACTGTCAGCTTTCATTTCCAAAAGAAATACCGAGGGGTCAGCCAGTGAGGGAATAATTCCCGTTTTTAAATCCCAGAGCCGCATTTCTGTAGATACCACTTCCTGTCACGGTCAGATTTAACATTTGATCTCTTCAACCAGCTAACATCCTGACCTTAAAAGACATTCAGAAAATTAAATGGATGGAAAAGGGCACCGCTACCAGAATTTAAAATGGCTCTCATCAGAGTAATGCAATAAAATGCAGTGCTTACAAGCACTTTGGAAAGAGGAGGCACTGACCTAATTTAAGCTCTCAGGAGAGGACTCTGAGAGCTCTTGAAGTGGCTGCTATGCTCCCTTTGGTCAGGTGCATTTAATAGATCAGAATTATTTTCAATATCAAACATTTGTAACCCTCCCTGCACTGTGAGCGGGTGATATGTCATGATCAGAGTCCAGTGTCGGAGTTGAACAGAGAGAGTGGAGTGGTTGACGGGAGAGCTGCTGTGTAGAAATCATTGCTCTCTTTTCCCTGCACACCACCTTTTCTGTCTTTTCTCCCCTCAGCAGGCTTCACATGATGCAGCAGCTCTTGGACTTGTCCTTGCTGAAGGTGGAGGAGAGCAGCTCTGCCTTGCTGGGCAGGTGGAGGAGTCTCTTGGAGAGGCGGCGGATGGGGCTGGGCTTGTTGGCCGGCTGCAGTTTGTTCACGCAGGCCAGAGCCGCTGTACGGAAAACACTGTGGATGCTCTTCTCCGATGTGAAGGCGGAGCACTCCAGGTACGTCTCTGCTCCAAGCTGCTTAGCTAAAGACGAACCCTATGATGTAAAAAATAACAAAAACATTTAAACTCTGGAAATGTAACACAAAGGGGGATTCCGCCACGACTACCCAGTCTACACACGAGACAGAATCCTAAATAAGACGCAGAGAGGAAGAAACAGAAGTCCGGGGACAAACCTGTTCATGTGAGACGGGAGATTGTTTCTGATTGGACAGCTCCATGCGTGTGCACACGTCTGTGCGCAGGTCTGTCTTACAGCCTATTAGGAGGATCCGTGTGCTCGGACAGAAGTCCTGGATCTCTGCTTTCCACTGCGAGGAGAAGAGGAACAGGCGTCAAAACACTGTCACTGGAAAGCTTTTTAAATATACTTCGGGAAGATACACATGTGTACGCCAACAGTGTCCAACATTCAAGTAGTCCTTGGTCCTTTTGAGGATGGATATATGTTTATGTGATTGATGTTTACTATCTTGAAACCTTTACTTTAGTTTATAACAGTTTATAATATAAATAAGATTAATACCTTCTTTAGCGCACTGTCTACTGTGTCTGGTCGGCTGATGTCGAAGCATAAGAGCACTGCGTCGGAGTCGCTGTAGCAGAGCGGTCTGACGTTGTCGTAGTAAGGAGAACCTGCAGAGACAACACACACTTAGCAATGCCCTCACATACAAGTTTATTACCATGTGATTTAGGAGCTGGGCAGTCAGCACTTTGAAAATTAACTTTGACACTTTCATAATGTTTTATCACAATCATCCTCCTCACTTTCACACAGTACAAATAATATAATGAATAACATAGCAGCCTGCCAAACTGATAAAAGAGCAAACACTTGACTGAGCTTGACGCCTTCCCACTGACCAGGTTTTTCCAGTGCAGTCAAATTACTCACAGTCAGTGAAACTCTGCACCAATCACATCTTTCCATTATTGGAAACCAAACTTTATCTACCAAACTTTGTTTGAGTCAAAGCAAACACCAGATGTCTCATGGAACAAAATGATCACCATACTTTAGGATACACTTTCCAAGATTTGACTTTGGCTTACATACATACATACAAACACAGCATCAGATTAAGTTCCAAAATACAGACTATGTTCATCTATGTCTGTCGAATGAAGTCCCCTTCAGGTATTGTTAATAAAAGACAGATTGAAAAGTATTCAAAGCAAGTTTATTATGTGAAGCCACAGCCAACAGCTGGTTAGCTGAGCGTTGCACAAAGACAAGAAACAGAAGGAAACAGCTGTTTAACAGTAAAGAAAATGTCAAGGAAAAATGTGTTGTAATACAGCCAGAAAGCAATGTCACGTATAACTCAAGATATTAATCTACTTCTCTCACGGTTCATTAAGACCATAATCATTGTGTGTACTTGTATTTGTGTGTGTGTGTGTGTGTGTGTGTGTGTGTGTGTGTGTGTGTGTGTGTGTGTGTGTGTGTGTGTGTGTGTGTGCGCGCAAAATGATATCATTAACTGTTAATCACCTCCAACATATCGTTTTCCCAGATTTCCTTGTTCTGGAAGGACTCTCAATTTCCTTCTGGCAAATGTATATCGAGACGGCAAACACCTTCCCACTCCTTTACCAAAGGACGTGTAGTTAAAGTCTAAGAACATTTGACTCCACAACACACACACACTACACACATTTCCCTCACCTTCCCACAAACGGCAGAGCTATATGTAGAGTCTTCCTTTAACTCTCAGGAAGGCTCTTGTTCTAAAAACAGACCGACAGGATGTCCGCTCTCTATTGTCTTCCCTCTGCCACCTAATCACTCCCCCACACACCAACGCTAAGATTTCATTTCCTACCCCTGTCCTCAGGGGCTAGATGTGCAACCGAAGCTTCCCTTGCAAATAAAAGCAGGATATAATTACACCAGGAATAGATAAGCTACCGGAACTAAGTAATCTCTGCTGAGACATTAATGAAAATATTTTAAGAACACAAAGCACTTTAATTCAAAAAGCCATTCAGGTCTGCGGGAATATTTGACTTCAATCTGCAAAGTAGGACGACTTCTACGAATACAATCTATCAATAACTCGCTTTTAAGGGGAATCAAAGCCCCCGTCTCATAACTATCCAGAGTGATGTAAGGCTTGAGAACGAGGAGGCAGAGAGAACACACACACACACACACACACACACACACACACACACACACACACACACACACACACACACACACACACACACACACACACACACACACACACACACACACACACACAACACACACACCACACACCAACAACACACTACACACACAACACACACCGACGACACGACACGCAAGCTCTGTGTGCAGCACTGTGGCCCGAGTTCAGCACTAGCTTCATGGGAGGGAGCTCTCCAGGAGGGACAGAAAGACTGACGTCATCTAAGAGGCTGCAGGCTCGACTCGTCCGATACATCCGATACACGCTGAGACGATTCAATATCAATACGCAAGATGCAGTTTAAGAGCAGCACGTTAAAAGTACCACTACCAGATGGTGCTTGATTTTTACCATATTATATCCCTTTATGCCAGATTTGCGCAATCATGCCTGCTGGAAGCCTATGTATTTTCATGTTCAGCTGATTTCTATTTTTTTTTGACATTACGGCCCTAAAGGATTCTGCCATCTTTAATATTCCTGCAGAAGTAAACCAGGCCAAACATTGAAAAGCCCTATACACGCCAGCTTTATGGAGCTAAACACGGGTGCACGAGTGTGGCCTTGTGTGCCTTCCCAATAAATGAATCAACCAATACACGTGTGTTCAAAGCCATACGTCTGCCCACCAGTTGTGCCTCCCTTTGATTTGCTTGATATCTTTAAGCTCTTTAAGAAACCTATTAATACGCTCCGGCAGCCCCTGCTGCTATCAAAACAGCAAAGCTGGCATTGTTGAGCATCTCACACACCCAGCAGTCAGGCGGTGACAGCAGGATGGGGGGGAGGCCCCAGAGCGCTTCCTGATTGCTCCGGCGGGAATGCCGTGAGAGCCACTTACATGCACTGAAGAGAAGCCGCCGCTGAAGAACCCAGTCGCAAAAACGAGGGCACCCTGCAGCGGCACAGCATGGCTCCGCGCATTAGCTCACTTGTGCTTGGGAGTGCTTTTCATTTCCCCCCGCACTTGGCTTAGCTCTCAAGATCACAGTTTCCTAATTTACTGATTAAGGGGTCCTTGTGGTCGTCCTATGACGTCTCATCAAGCGCCTCGTTAAAGGCTCACAGCGGTTTCTTCACACCCTTAACCTGCTGGCGGCGGGGTTAGAGTGCGGTCCCTCCCTTCTTGTGTTCGGGCCCCGACACCCGGGGGCAGAGTTTCTCGAGTGTTGACAGGGAGCAGGGATTGGAGCTCCTGGCTGGGCTTTCCTCTGTGCAAGCCACTCCACTCTCCTTCTTCTCTGTCTTTCACCGCTGCATGTCTGTGGTTTCATCTCATGCCCCCGGCAACAGTATGGCGTATTTGAGCCCGGGCTTGCGCGCTCCAGAAGCCATTACGAGCTAGGACGGGATGGAGGCTTTGCACACGCTGATCACACAAGCGGC